TGGCCGTACAATATTTAGCAAACACAGAACCTGAAGTGAAAGAATTGGAATGTTATTATTAAATTAAGTGTGAAAAGTTGTAAAATTTCACTTTTCAAGCTAATCTAATCTTGCACAGCATTTTTGGATTGAGCAAATTATAATATTTTTATATTAAACTCGAAGTTGTAATAATAGAAAAGGACATTTATTAACATGTACTTATGCAGCTATAAGAAAATCGTCTTAACATTAAGAAAAATATTGAAAATTATAATTTCTTAACTGTTGTATAGTTAAGTAGAAACTTTCCATTTCTAGAAGACACACCCATTATTTAAGTTTATTAACAAACTTTGTAAAAAAGCATGTAGTTGCATTTGTTTTATTTATTTTCAAATTTTATTTCCGATTAAGCTTTTTAATGAGCACTCGATGCACATTTTAATGTCGCTCTTTGACTTTTCAAAACACTGTTCAAGCGAAATAAGCCACAGATTTTGTTTTGTAAAGCATTTGCGTATTTTCGCTTGTTGGCGCTACTTGCTGTGTTAATTTAATTAACGCGCTAAGTGCAGAAATGGCTTTCCGCTGTGGGCGCTGCCAAGTTTTTCTGTTTTGCCTCTGACTGGCTGGAAAAACCTTTACGAAAATGCCTTGCCATAGATCACAGCTCTCGTGCTGTGCTGCCTTGTAGTGTGGGGTTTTGTTTCTGCGTGTGTGTGTGTGCGTTTGTGTGTGCACTGTCAGCAGGTGTGCGGCTGTTGGGAAAATGGCCGCTGCGACCGTGTGTGCGTATGTGCGTGTGTGCAGTGTCTGCATTGCCTTGTGTGGGTATGGGTGCGAGTGTCAGTTCATTTTTATAAACTGGGTCAGTAGTCGTGCGATGCCAATAAAAGTTAATGCATCTCTGTATTTGTTTGCGTGTATATATATGTATATATGTAGGAATGTTTTATATGGAATGCCATAATAGGGCTGGCCCTGTTGATATTTTTTAATATTTATAGAATTTTAAAACGTCCAACAAGTGCAAAAATAAAAAAATTGAAAAACACAGGCGCGCGATTACAACGCTCATCAATTTAAAATCATGCTCTATCGTGCCTTTTATTACTTTTGGCCTAGTTGTTTTTAAATTGCTGAATACCAATAACAATGCCACAACATTGAAGTTATTCTGTTAATTTTAAGAATATTTAAAATTTAATTAAATGTAAAATTTTATTTAATTAAATTTTTTTTAATTAATTTTAATTTTTAAAAAATTGCTTTCTTGTGGGGTGGGAACAGGGTATTTAAGAGTTGAGCCCAATCGACTATAGCATTCTTTTCTTGTTTTTAATTTCAGGAACCCCTGAAGTACGAATTTCTTGCAATAGCAAGGGAAAATGTTAGTCAAAACTTTACAGCTGAAGCTCATAAAGTGCTGCGCTCTATTCGTAATCCTGATCAAGATCAGCCACTAAAAATTGAATTTATTCAACAAAGTAAGACTTTATTTCGAGGAAGTTTCCGAATATAATTTAATTGATGTGCATAATAACTGATGGTTTTCTTGCATTTCCATAATCTAGAAGGACTGTACCAGCAACGCTTATTTACTAGTTTGTCTGCATGTAGCTTAATTCATTAAAAATACATATGTACAATATTTATGCAACAACAATATAGAATGCAATAATATCAGAGGAGAGGAGGAGAGCGCGCTGTCGCCTGGTCTTTGGCTGCCGAGCGCAATTCCCCACACCGGCATCCAACTACCAAGGGCCTAGCTTAAGTATTAGTTTTAGTTATATTGTAAATGCTTTCGCTAACGCATGTTCACGTCCACTCTACAAAGAACATTGTACAATTCAAAAGTTGTTAATACTAGAACATTAACATTAAACCACTTCACTACACAACCAACAAGTCCATCCCACTCCTTTTTCAAATATTTATTTATTCGGAAAATACATTCAAATGCTACGGTAAATGCTTGTCCGTTCAGTACAGACTCACACGGTTTAAAAAATATAACGTAATAATTACTTTAAGCAAGTCATTTGGTCTGATTGTTGACCTCTGCTATTAGAGTGCCACTCTTAACTCTTCCTTGACACTAATTATCTTGTTGCACAGCGGACTAAGAACAGTTTTCTTGTTCTGGTTGCTGTTAGAAAACTTTCAAGTAATTGCGTTGCTGGCTGGACAAAGACTAAAGACTTAACTATATGACCTTTTGACAGTTTTTAGTCTTAACTTATTTTGCCTTTGACATGGACAAGTTTTTGGGAAATCCTCAACTCTTGCACTGTGGCGCATGCAGATCCTGAGCAAGGCAGACTGAATTTGAAAAATATTTGATTTTAAGATTTTTGACGCCTGACTTGTTGAAGGGTTCCAATTTGGTTTCAATTTTATGTACTTTGCACTACAATATAAAAAACTTTATAGCTGAGTTAAAAATAAAACAAACTTTCCTCCATATGGATTTTAAGATTATTAGCAATCTTTAGAATTATTAAAAATGTCAACATCAACAAAAACGAGTTACTATATCATTGGATAAATGGAGATGGTCTGATGTTTAAAAGAAAGCAATACTGAAAGAAAATAACATCATTATTTAAAGCTACTTAGAAAGCGATTCGTTTCACGATTTAAAAAGTATTGGTGTTTAAAAATATAAAAAAATCTTTGTTGTCTCGAGGCGGCTACATTTAATCAACACTACAATCGGCCTGTGTCCCAACCAAAAGCCATAAGCTTAATACAAATGCTTATACATACATAATAAAGATGTTTAAATATTCCACGCACAGTACTTTAAAACATGTTTGCGATGCTCAAGACATCAATCAATCAATTTAAATGGCCTTGTTTACGCATGAAAGTGAGTCAAGGCTGTGAGTGGCTCCACATGTAAACATTAAAGTATACAAGTATATAATACATACATACGAGTATATAGAGGTATGCATGACTCGTATGTCTGGGGTGCCGCTTTAAAGCGAACAATAAGCCCTCGCTCACCGCAAACTTGGGTCTTCGCGAACAACTTCAAAGTTGAAAAGCATAACACTGCCAAGCCTGAACAAAAAATATATAACAGCAGCAACAACAGCGTTTTCAATTATGTTAAACTTCGAACTGCTAATGAAATCTGTCAGAAACAATTTGGCGCAATTTTTCACTTAAGGCATTCAGCAGAAATGTATTTATAATTAGAAAATGCCGTGTAGAAAAACCGAAATCATTTACCTGAGCGCGGTCCCACATTTGTGGCACAACTTTGCCAACAACAAGAGCAGACGCAACAACAGCAGCGTTAACAACAATAAGTGCAGGCAGGAACATTGCCAATGCTCTTCCCAACAGACAACAGACAAAACGATGCGAGCGTAAGGAAAATGTCTACGCAACAAAATGGCAACAGTCGGAAATACGTCAGGAATGGGTGGTGGCGAGGGGTTAGGCGCTGAAAGCCTTCAGTGGATGAACAGTAGTCGAGGCTGTGGCCGGAAAGGGGTGCGCAGCAGTGGCGGAGGTAGCAGCATCCTCATGGCCGCCATTGCAGATGGAAATGTTGGCAGCAGCGGAAATTATTGTTTCTATTTTGGATTTGTATGTGCTCTGCTAGTGGTTGTGCCCCAATCTCCCCTATCCTATCTTGTCGGCCCGCATTCTTTCTGGTCGGGCTATTCACAGAGAACTGCTTGACAAACTCATGCTGGATGTTGTTTGTGTGGGTTAAACTTTTTGTACTATTGCGTCTACTTTTTGACGTATTCTCGTAGCCCCAGACAAGAGTGAAGTATGTTTTGAAAAGTTTTCTTTACGCTTTGCGTTTTGTTCTGTTTTGTTCTGTTTTGTTTTGTTTTGTTTGGTTTGGTTTTGTTTGGTTTTGCATTGTTCCCTCGCCATGGAAAAGATAGCGTCAGCGAATCCTAACCTATGGCAAGGCATTAAGTTAAACTTTGCCAACTAAACGCAGAACGATTGTTGAGCTTAACTCTTCTACCGAACCTACTTTATTTATTTAATAAAAGTGTAAATCAACGGCCATTGCGAGCTTTCCCAGAGCATTGCGAATTTATTACCAATTTCTTATATAGGATTATTAAAAGTTGTTACTTTTGGATATTTTAAAGAAATAAAAAAAAAAAATTAATTCATTTTTTTTATCATCATATTTTGATTTATAAAAGCACCCTTTATCTAAAGTTCTTAAAAGCGTTTTGCCGAAAGCCCATCTTTAGAATTTTGTTTTGTTGATTTGGATTTCTACTCAAAGGTTTGTGAGCTTGCTAAGCGATCTTCAGTTCTTATCGCATACTTTTGCTTTATAAAGGGGAAGGCATTGTGCGAGGTTCGAGCTTTGTGGGCTTTTCACCACAAACAAATTGCGATAAGAAAAGGGAGAAACGTGTTTGGATTTTTTCAAGACAGTTAGTATTCAATAAAGAACAGAGAACAACGAACAATGTTTCGCGTGTTATTTTCGCATTGTAATAAATTCTTCACTTAGTACAACAACAAATGTATAAAAAAACTCGCGAAACTTGTGTGTAGTTTCTATTACAAGTATATATACTAAAACTACTTAGGTAGTATACTCTTATAACTGTGAAAGTACAGATAATGTCTGCAGATAATGTTCTGCTTAATGTTTATCAAATAGATTGTGTGTTGTTGGTATTTTATATTTAATTTTAGGAATCCCCCCATACCGACAGATAAAAAGATTTCCTGTAGAAATGAGCAATTATAATATTTTATCACTTAATGAGTATTGCTTATGGCATATATATAAATATTTAGATGTGATTGATCTGCAACAGTTGGCGCGTTCTAGCTCTGAATTAAATACGTCTTTAAACAATTGGTCACAGTCTCCAGATCTTTTTAAAAATATTCAACGAATTATAGTGCCGATCTCAGCGCAAACTGAGCTCAACGTTCACATTGTAGACCTATATAAGCTTGTACGATCCCAAGCTGATGTTTTCAAGGAAGCACTTTGGAGCATATTTCTTTCAGTATGCAAGCAAAATGCATCACTTACGGAAATACGTATAGTACAAGAAAATGATATGTTCCGTCGTTCTCATGCAGAAGTACTTGATCAGTTTCTCAACATCCTGCAGCATTTGCCCAATTTGAAAAGGCTGAGTATTATGGCAGATTGTACGTATGACACGACTTTTAAGTTGCTTCTTCAAAATATTGAAATTGAATTGTTTTTCAGTCTACAGCATTCGGGAAAAGCTACCTCTATTTACCAAGCTTGAAGAGCTGTATCTAGATGTTGGACTAGAGGCAGAAGAATTGATTAGCTGTTGCAAGTTCAATCCAAATCTACGTGTTCTCCATATTTACAATTCAAACATTTACGGCAATCTTCTCGATATTGCGAAGTATTGCAATACCTTGGAGGAGTTATGGATCCAAACAAAACCCAATGCTGAGGAGTATGGGCCATGCGCAGAGCTTCCGAAATTGAAATCACTAATTATTTGTGGACCACATGAAGCTGGAACCCTACATCGACCATTCCACGCCATGGCTAAGCCGATGGGTGATTTCAATCTTCACCATTTAAGCATTCGCAATACTATTATCAACTTTAAAGAGACAACGAAAATGTCACAAATTAAGTCGCTCGTAAGCTTGTCTTGCACCTTCGCAGATGCATTGTGTGTGGAAAGATTGACTTTACTGAAGAACTTAAAAGAATTGAATATATTGATGAAAAACGATATTCAGATTTCGAGAGAATTGCTTAGCATTATTAGAGATTGTACTAAGCTCGAATTTCTTGCAACAGAACGAAGAAATGTTAGTCAAAACTTTTTGGCTGAAGCTCATGAAGTGCTGCGCCTTATTCGAAATCCTGATCAAGATCAGCCACTAAAAATGCTATTAATTGGATATGGGAGAGTAAGTCCGGTAAGTTTCCGAATACAATTTAAGTTAAATATATAATAATGGAATGTTTTCTTGAATTTACACAATCTAGGTTGACCGTATCAACGATGCTTATTTACAAGTTTTGTAAGAGCTACATGCTAATGCCATACAAATGTATATCTGCAATATTTATGCGACAACAATACAGTTTTGAATAATCACGATGATTGTTCTTTTTCATGTTTTTAATTATTAGTTCAATAAATACATTTTCATGTATTTATTTAATCAGAAAATGCATTCATGTGCAACGACAAGTGCTTGCCCGTTTAGTACAGACTCTCAATATTTGAGAAATATATCTTAATAATTTGAATTAAGTCAGTTAGGGTGTGTGCTGACCTCTGCTATTAGAGTGCCACTCTCAAAACATCCTCGACAATAATTACAGAGAACTAACAACAGTTGTTCTTGTTCTGGTGGCTGTTTGAAAACTTTTAAGAAATTGCATTGCTGGCTTGTCAAGGACTTAAGACTTAACTGTGTGACCTTTTGACAGTTTATAGTCTTAACTCACTTTGCCTTTGACATGGACGGACAAGTTTTTGGAAAATCCTCAACTCATGAACTGCGGAGCATACTCGAAGTGCATCGCATGATGCAGATCCTGGACAAGGCAGATTGAATTTGAAAAATATTTGATTTTAGCAAATTCTTTTGACGCTTGACACAGGACTTGTTGAAGTGTTTCAATTAAAACTTAACAAGCTGTTGACATTTATCGAAAATAGTAGACAAAACGCAATACTGTGAAACGCAGGGACGCCTGAGGAGAGAGGGAGGGGCAGTCAAGTACACTTACATATAGTATGTAGATAAATATCTACGCCCACACACACACACACACACACACACACACACACACACACACACACACACACACACACACAATAATAGCAGCAAGAGAAGCACAAAGTAGCACAAAGCCCTTTAGTTTGACGAGCATTTAGGTGTTTGCTGCACTCGATGTCCTTCCCTCTGTCTGCCCCTTTGAAGGTTTTCGTTCTCAACAAAAGACGTTGACAGTAGTACTTAATGTCGTTGTTGAAGTTGTGTAGTTCAGACAGCATCTCAAGTTTTTACTCTCTACTTTTGTCTGCTGTTCAGCGTTGCAGTTACTCTCAAGTTTATATTTAGTTGAAATTGCATTTTACAGCAATAACAAGATAAGGAACTGAATGTATGCATGCCAGGATGTGGGTCTGTCTCTGTGAGTAAATAGTTTCTTATTGCAGTCTGGTTGCCCTTGTTGCTGCATCTTATTGTTTACTTTGACAGCCTGACAGTGTGTCTGCATGTAGGCGCAACTCCTCAGGATTTTCATCATCGTCGCACCTATAATATAGTTCATAGTTCCAAAAAAAGGCCAGCCATTGTGTGTATACATGAAAAATGGAATTAAGCCATTTATAAGGATAAAATGAAAGTTTCATTTACTTAGTCCCAGCAAATATTTGCTTCTTTAAATATTTGTGGTTTTTTTTTCTGTCTGAACTGAAGTATAAATATTTGTTCGCTAATATAGAAAAAAGTATATGTATGTCACACAAATCAAGAGATATATTACTAACTAAAATTGTTAGCGTGAAGTGGAAAGCTGTTGCTGTTTTCAATTGAAAGAAATCAGATTTGCGCTTAATAATTAGATAAATATACATAAAATTAACGAACTTGGGATGGAACGTATTTGATATATAGCCAACGAAGTTTTGTTTTCTTAAAAAAAAATGTTTTTATTCCGTCCGAAGAGTAAACGGGACATACATAAGTAGATAGTCTACATAAGTAGATAGTCTTGTAAAAAACACTTCTTTTAGGACGCTTCGAAAATATATATATATATATATATATATATATATATATATATATATATATATATATATATATATATATATATATATATATATATATATATATTTTCGAAGCGTCCTAAAAGAAGTGTTTTTTACAAGACTATCTACTTATGGAGGTACTCGTATATATATATATATATATATATATATATATATATATATATATATATATATATATATATATATATTATTTGTCTTACTAAACTTAAACTAAACGACTAAAAGGCATATAGAATTAGAGAGTTGTTTCAGCTGATTGACATTTCTCTCTGAAAGTAAAGCTCCACCCTCCCTAGACAACAACCCCATTATCGTAATCCGAAAGCTCCAATCGGGATCGAATGAAAATAAGATTCTTGTAATTTTTTTTACTATATTTGTCTCCAACAGTGTGCAGTAAATTAGAAATTGCTAGACCGTCTACCACTCAAGATTAAATACTTCCTTTACTTTTTAAAAAAATGGACAATCAATTGAGTGAAAATAATTTTAATCTGGGTGTAAGATCCCTAGATGAATTGGAACAAAAGCTTGCCCAACCCCCTACTGCTTGTGAATATTTGGAAGTGGAATTTTTTATACTGTACTAGTACATATTCAAACAATCGAAAAAAGGAGAAGAAAACTTTCGTACGTGGCTCGCCCAATTGCGCAACTTGAAAAAGGCAAAGCTACATAACAACTTGCCTCATAATGAATTAAACGCTTCACCTGAGCAGATACTAAGCTATTTAAATGGAAGAACATTCTTATTCGATGAACTCTTCGAAGCACTTAAAAATTTGCCATCGCTAAAAACTTTGGAAATTATATGCTTCAAGCCAGGTAATTATAGTTTTTGTCATCAAATAGACATAAAACATAAATATTACTGTATTCTGTATTCTTAGTTGGAGATTTCGAAAAATTGTGTAATTTAACAAATATTGAATGCCTCAAATTGGATATTAAAATAGAGGAAACACAATTAACGAACTGCTTCCGTTCAAATAAAAATTTACGCGTATTGCACCTCGAAGATGATTTTTATTCCAAAAATTTGGCAAACTCATTGTTGTGTTGCACAAATTTGGAGGAATTGCGATTGCGCATGAAAACTTTTGATAATGCTAAAAATTTATATGACCAATTGTCAAATCTACCAAATCTTCGACGACTTTTGATTATTGGATTTGAAGCCGAGCGGTAAGTTTAATTAAAACAGAAGGAAAAACAATTTCAGCGTATATTTTTGCTTCCATTTCAGGGCTAGATTGTGTGTACCAAATATGACAAATCTAGAGGAATTATATATTAATGATGAATCCAGTGGCAACCCTACAACAGTCTTCTTAGATATTATAGAAACCTTTCCAAAACTTCAACGTTTTCAAATTGCTGCTCAAAATTTAGACTCGGATTTTATAGTAAAAGCCCAAGGCATCCTAGAAGAAAATCCTCCGAGACAGTCATCACTTAACTTGGAAATTCCAAATATTGACCATTTTCAGACACACTCCAATGGAGTAAGATGCGAACTCGCATTTAATATGCACATTTTTAAATCGTACGTCTATTTCAGATCGCTATGAATAGTGCCCTTCTGACAATATCAAATCTTCAACTTGTGGACCCATTTAATCAGTAAATATATTGTCTTATAATCTTATATATATATATATATATATATATATATATATATATATATATATATATATATATATATATATATATATATATATATATATATATATATATATATATATATATATATATATATATATATATATATATATTATATATATAGGAGGGTGGAGCTTTACTTTCAGAGAGAAATATATATATATATATATATATTATTTGTCTTACTAAACTTAAACTAAACGACTAAAAGGCATATAGAATTAGAGAGTTGTTTCAGCTGATTGACATTTCTCTCTGAAAGTAAAGCTCCACCCTCCCTAGACAACAACCCCATTATCGTAATCCGAAAGCTCCAATCGGGATCGAATGAAAATAAGATTCTTGTAATTTTGACGTATGACTATTTTGTTGTTCTTACATCCCTACCACATTCATATCATTTATAAGTAGTACCTATTTTTATCAATAATTAATTTTATTCAAGTTATTAGTTGATAGCTTTGATTATACAAGTAGCTTTACACTGAAAAATATATATTTTCTTAATATTTATAATCAGTTTTGCAATTATTTACTTAATATACACTCTTTGTAAAGCATTCGTTAATGTTTATTTCAACTTAAATTATTGTGTTTGTGTGTTTTTCTTAGATTATATTTATTATTTAATGATACACTTGATTGTGAGCGTGATAAGTTTGTCGAATACTTTTAGGCATATTTTAAGAAATGAATTAAAGAATGAGTATTATTCATGGCTTATTTAAGGTTTCTACTTCAAAAGTCCCAATTTCGAAAAATAATTAAAATGGATATGACTCAAATCTGCCATTTATGGCAATCGGAAACGATAAGTGCACTTGCATTATAAAATGATATTGGTATTAAACCCTGATAAGGCGTAGGAGTATATTCACAAATTATAAATACATTTTACGCAACTAACGTGTTTAATATTTATTTCCCTTTATATTCTTTTATAGCTGCTTTAATGAACACTATGCTCAACAGCAAGTGCAATACATATGTAAGTACATATGTATATAAATAAATATATAATTGCTGCGGCCTTTGGGCTCACATGTATTAAAATGAAATTGCCATTCAAAATACGAAACTGATAATGGCAGACGACGGCGAAAGGGTTTTCCTTGTTTCAAAATGTATATTTATGAATTTATTGCGGCAAGCACACACACACCTATACATAGTGTATAATTTCAGGCACGTATCGTGAGTGAACGGTTTTGCCAATTCAGATAGTCGATTGACGAGCTCTTTAATTTGTGAAAACTTTTTGCAAGTGAAACTTTTTAAATTGGTAAAGAAATTTGTTTTTAGTTTCAGACCCCGAAAAAAATTCTCCCTACGCTGCATTATACAAGTAGTACTGCAGAGTTATACACACATGCTTATGTACTCTTACGTGAATCTGGGTCAACTCACACACACACAAACAAACACACATAGCCATTGCAACGTTGGTGTGCAATTGTTGCTTCAAATTGTATGCAACGGAAATTTTCATTAGAACCATTCTTTATAAAAAAATCTTTTATTGATAAACTGTATAATTGATAAATTAATTACAGCTTTAAATTATTATCAATTAATTCAAACTGGATATGTGTTAGAATTAATTAATGAGCCAACGTCCGGAGTTTATATGAACTGAAGGCAGTATACAT